CCAACTGGGCTGTGCAGGGCCTCTAGTGTCAACTCCACAGCCCCAAGGTCAACTCTACAGCCCAAAGGTCAAGTCCACAGACCCCAGGGTCAACTCCACAACCCCAAGGTCAACTACATAGCCTCTAAGGTCAACTCCACAGCCCCCAAGGTCAACTCTACAGCCCCCAGGGTCAACTCCACAGCCCCCAAGGTCAACTCCACAGCCCCCAGGGTCAACTCCACAGCTTCCAAGGTCAACTCCACAGCCTCCAAGGTCAACTCTTTAGCCTTGCCTTTCTTCACTTTTAACCTTTATGTCTTTGGAAGGAAATTGCCTGATTCTTTAGTTCATCTTCCAAATCACTGATTTTTTTTCATATTTCTTTTTCAGCCTATCTTTTTCACTAGCTGCTAAGACTTTAAATTTAAAATAATTACATATTTCTTCAAATTCCTAACTAGCTATTTTTCAAGACCATCTACCCTAGCTTTATAGTTTCTTGGATATGCGCATGTGTGTGTGTGCACGCGTGCACACACGCGCATGTGGGCATGTGTGAGCAAGGTATTCTGATCTATCAGACATGGCTTCTGGGGTGGGGCATGGCTGGAAATTTCTCTACTGCAAGTCTCCTCAGCCAGGAGAGATTTGTGGAGTTGGTATTGAGTCAGTTTTGAAGGCTTGGCGGGGGGGGGGAGAGGGGGGATGGTGCATAATTTACACGTCCATTCACATGTGGAGTGTACCTCCACCAGAGTCATCCCTTCCATCCTCCCTAGCAGCCACATTGTTTCGTGCTTCCTTTCCCACCTACAGCGCTTCTGCTCCATTTTTTCCCTGAAGGACTTGTCAAAGTTACATCGTTAAACAGTAACATCTTTAGAGAACACTTGGGAATATCTCTAGAGACTTTACAACTAGACAGAAGTCTCATCCTCTAGCTGCTACGCTGTGCAGTGTGGCCACTCAGTGTGGTCCCTCTGTCAGTAGGGCAGATGAGAGGCTGGTGTGCATGTGTGTGTGCGTGTGTGCGCGCACGCGTGCACACATGCACATACGCATATGCGTGCGCATGTGCATATGTCAATTCTGCCCACACAGATCAGAGACCACTCATAAGGCTCCAACTCGGCTGGCAAATGAAGAGCTGGCATTGGTGGATGCCACACGTCCTTCAATGTGTGTGCCGTCACCGCATAGCACGAGGACGCCGGGCAGAGCCGTCAAGGAAGGAAGCGGGAGGGGCTGAGGTTAAAACGGCCACCCAAAGCCAGGTGGGCAGTCAGATGCAGATGTCAAGTGCTCATAGCTTTCAAAGCTCAAGGGAGACAAAAAACGATGGTGGGCTAGGGAAAACAGCTTCCTGGAGGAGATGCTCCCCTCCTCCCGCCACACTGGGGCTCACTGTGAAGTGCTCCTCTTCTGCCTTAGAATATAATATTTTTAAGCAAATATATAATCTTTAGTTGAAAATCAACAGGAAGCAAAAGGTAGCTTGTATTGATACAAAAGCAACAGTTCAGAAAAACAGTACGTTTCCGTTGAGGACAACGCGTCGCTAAGCCTGTAACGTGGTAGAGTGCATTTTAAGTTCTTTCTAGGAAAGCTGCTGTTCACTGCTCCTCACGCACACTCCGCAGTGCCACGGGCCTGCCTGCGCCCTCAGTGAGGAGTCCTTCCGCAGTATCAGCAGCAGCATCCTCTTCCACGAACCACGGGTCTGGCAGGACGTGGCTGGGGACCAGCCAGGTGGCCTCCTGCGGCTCTGCCCGAGCGCCTGGGCGGGGCGTCTGTGTCTGGCCCCGTGGAGTGCAGGAGCCAGTGTCTCCAACTTCTCATTTTATTTGAACAGAAGTGCAGTCAGCAATCCCTGCTGCAGGCCCTACTGCGATTTCCTTGACAGATTACGATACGAATCATAATGAGAGAATACACTTATGACACGCCACATTTTCAACAGATCAGCAGCCATGAAATGTGAGACCCAGGTGACATCTCTGCAGATCCTGGCGTGAGCCCTGGGGACTTCTCGACCTGATTCCGAGTTAAGCTGTCCAGCTGCAGTAGCCCATCCACTGGGATTGCTTAGTTCTGAGCCCGAAGCAGGATTTCAGACTCAGACGAAAACCCCAGAGGCAGGGATGGAGGAAGCCACGTGTGTGGGAAGTGCTTGTTCTATTCTCGAGCCTGAGTATCACTCCAAAACACAGCCACATTTATTTTTCTAGAGAAGTCTCTCTGGAACTGTCTGACTCAGAACGTAGGAAACGAGGTAATGGGTTGGGATGAGAATCCTGTCAAATCAGTTTGCTGGGTGACAGTGGACCGGTTATTCTGCTAGTACCTCTGTGGGACATTTTCTTTCTATCTGTACAGAGTTGACCATGGCTTCAGTTCTGTCCTCATGAAACTTGTCACATGCCTCAAGATGCTCTTCTACACTCACACAATTGTTTTCTTTTTAAAGATAGGAATCGTGAGGCAAAGGGTGGGGGGGTGAGAACAATGAAAGAGGAGACACTGGTCAAGACACACTGTATTCATAAATGCTGGGTTGAGTGGCAACTCCTTTGGACAACTACTCAAAGATAGTAAAAACACTTTTCTTAAAAAAGATCGGAATTGTGACTTAGGGCCTGGCACAAGGTAAATCATCAATCAATTTCTTTTAAATGATGAAAACAATTGTTTCTACAATGTAACCCTTGTTTTTTATTTTTCCTTACTTTTCTGTAATGAAGTCTTGGTATTATTAATCAAGTATATTATTTATGGTTATAGCCCAAATTTATAAAAAAAAGTACCAAAGAGAATTTTAAATCTGGAAAGCTTTCTTTCCTTTGTAAGTTCAGATCACTAAAATCCATTCATAAAAACTCGGAGCCTAGGGCAGGCTCTGCTGGGGTGGGGGTCCTGTGACTGAGGGGGCCAAGGGAGAGGTGAGCAGGGGAACACAGGCAAAGCACTTTGTGTGTGTGCATGTGTGCGAGGAGAATTCTGACACCTGTAGAACCCATGTTGAGAAGCAGGGGAGTAAGTATGGTGGGATCCATTAAATGCATTACAATAATGTCAGAAGGAGATCTCTTATAGAACCACTATATGTTAAATATTAAAACAAACTAATAGCATAGCATCAAAATTAGTCACATTGTGGTTTTAAAAATTGAAATGTTGGCAACTAAGATGTCAGTTTTAGTCCACAAATCTTTTTGTTGTTGTTGTTGTTGGTTGTGGGTCTTGAACTTTGGGCCTGGGCACTGTCTCTGAGCTCCAGGCAAAAACCCTACCACCTGAGCCACAGCACCACCTCTGTTTTTCATGTGGTTAATTGGAGATAAGAGTCTCACAGACTTTTCTTGCTGGGGCTGGCTTTGAACTGAAATTCTCAGATCTCAGCCTCCTGAGTAAATAGGATTACAGGTGTAAGCCACTAGCACCTGGTTCCACAAATCTTATAGATGAGAAATTCCAGTTGTCTTTTTCTTTTTGCCAGTCCTGGGGCTTAAACTCAGGGCCTAGGAACTGTCTCTGAGATCTCTTGCTCAAGACTAGCACTCTACCACTTGAGCCACAGCGCCACTTCTGGCTTTTTCTGTGTATGTAGTACTGAGGAATTGAACCCAGGGCTATGCATGAGCATGCTAGGCAAGCACTCAACCACTTAGACACATTCTCAGCCCCTTCCTTCCTTCCTTCCCTCCCTCCCTCCCTCCCCTCCCTCTCTCCCTCCCCCTCCCTCCCTCCCTCCTTTTTCTTTTGTGTGTGTACTAGTCCTAGAGATTGAACTCAGGGACTGGGCTTTTTGGTGGTTAACTAGAGTTAAGAGTCTGATGCACTTTCCTGCCTAGGATGGCTTTGACCTACAATCTTCGGATCTCAGCCTCCTAAGTAGCTAGGATTATAGATGTAAACCACTGATGCTCTGCCTTATTTAGTATAATAAACTAGAATTATTTATTATAATAAGTTTTACTGTTTGTGATTCTCTACATACACGTACATGTCTTCTACAAATATAGTCTTAAATCTTCCTTTCCCATCTGGGTACCATCCTACCCCTGACCCCCCGACCCTCGACTTACCATGTTGCCTGGGAGCTTCGGTGCAACTCTAACTCGAAATGGTAAGGATGTCCTGTTCTTGGCTGAGGGGCAACAATTTCTTATTTTACCATTAAATAGGTTCCTAGCTTTGTGTGTGTGTGCGTGTATGTCTGTGTGTTAATAGACTGTTTATCAGGTAGAAGACATTTCTTTCTATTTTCAGCTGCTGAACATTTGATCATGAAAAAGGTTTTAGGTTGTTGTGATATGTTTATTCTACGTCTGTTGAAATGATCGATCAGATTTTGTCATTTTTCTCATAGGGGTAAATTACATGGATTGATTTTTATATGTTAAGCCAATTTCATTTTCCTGGGATAAATCTCATTTATTCATAGCATACAGTCTTTTATATGTGTTGCTAAATTCAGTTTAATATTTTTTGAGAATTTATGCATCTATTTTCATAGGGACATTAGTCTATAGCATTTTTTTCTTCATAGTAGCACCAAACTAAAGCATTTGTTGTACTTATTTTGTGTGTGTGTTTCTGTGCTATTTTTTTTCACATGGTAATGCCTACTTTTCTTTCTGCCTCAGAGACTTCTGCCTGAACAGTCTGTTTCTAGAGGGCTGAATTGTGCTATGTCCACCATACACAGATACCCGTGTGCTCAGGATAGTGTCTAAAACTAGTGCAGGTGGTTAACACAGGCTCTCCTGTGCCACCTCCCACATGGTTTGTAAGTTCATCCGACATGAATACACCACTGTTACTTTTAACATGCCAAGTCTTTGCCCCTAGACAACGGCCATGTAAACCAATCTGCAGCATATAAAAGAGGGGTTTTCATTAAAAATATATCCCATTATTCAATCCTATGAGACCCTGCGAAGAATAAAGCATGTGACTGGCAGTCATGTAGCAAACATTGCAAGGTAAAGCTTGTTTGTTTGGGCGAGCTCAGGTACCTGGTGTCAGCAGGATGACCGAGGTGACGATCAGGGAACAGATGACCAGAATGACCAGCAAGGCGATCGCGATTCCTTTCCAGTTTCTCTGTGGAGGGTTGCTCCCCACCAGCTCCTGAAATACACACACATGGAAAGAAGCTCATAAGCAAACAGGAAAGCAAATGAGCATCTGCCATTCAAAGCAAGCACCGAGACCCAGAACCCTTGAAGGGGTGACTGCTGGTTCTGGAATCTGCCCAGCACTCTCTGTGCTCTTCCTGTGGCAGTGCCCAAAGACCATCCCCTCTGTGATGGGGTAAGACTTGGTGTCAACAAAGAAAAGAACCCGGCAGCATACTGCGTTCACAGGCACACGCACACACACACGCACATACGCATGCATGCATGCACGCACACACACACACACACACACACACATCAGACACTAGCACACAGCCATCCTGGGATTTTCTCTTCATCAGTCAACCTAGGAATGCCGATGGACTCAAAGCCAAGCGTAAAACACTGCAGCCCAAGTCTTTTCTCATCTTTTCATTTCTTGGTGTCCACAGTATCATCTTCTATTTCACACTACCAAAAAATATGTGCAACTTAAATCCACTTCTAATTTTTATGCTTTAAAATTATCTTTAAGTAGCTGTACAAAGGAGCTGACATCTAACGGGGCAGCTTATGAATACATCTCGATCAATGTCACCCCTTTCAACTCTCTTGCCCATCCCTCCCAACTCACCCCTTCCTAAACTTTTAATTTTATAGGGTATGCATTGAATTTTGGACTGCATTCCCCCTCTTCTCCTCTTTATTGTCTGCTCCTCTCCCCTTCATATCAGATGGTGGCACCAATGTGGGCAAAAGGGCCCCTAATATATTGTTGGTGAGAAAGAAGACTTGTTCAACCTTCCTGGAAAGCAGTGTGTAGGTCCCTCCAAAACCAAAGACAGAACTACGCACAAAGGGTAAACCAATGCAACAGCAATACACACTGGACACTATGTTGGAAATGAACTTTACAACTTGGGGGAAGGGATTGGGGGGAACAGGAGAAAATGAGGGAGAAGGTAACACGGTTTAAACATAAATGTACTCATTACCTTACTTATGTAACTGTAACCCCTCTGTATATCACCTTCATGATAAAATCAAAACAAAACAACTATGCTATGACCCAGTAATTCCATTCCTGGACCTTTACCCAAAAGATCACAAACCAGAATACAGTCACAGCAGCGCAGCCAGGTGCATCACAGCACAGCACTATGGCCCTTAGCCAAGGAAAAAATCAGCCCAGATCCCCTCAGTGGACAAATGGATCAAGAAAATACGATCTATATGTAGATCTAGATCTACATATATAATGGAATTTTGCTTCTTCATTAGAAAGAATGATATGGCATCATTTGCAAAGAAATGGAAAGACCTGGAAAAAATTATATTAAGTAAACTAAGTCAGGCCCAGAGACACAAAGGTTGGACGTTTTCTCTCACATGTGGAAGCTAGAATTAGTTTATAAATATTAAACAGTTGCAGTGGTATGTGTGTGCTTACAAATGTATTAACTGAAATATGGTAGATTCAGGGTAGAAGACACACAATGTCGTTCTTCAGACAGACTGAACAAACAAAACATCAGGAAATAGGCACTAGATTTTTAGCAAAACAAATGCCAGGAAATAGGCACTAGGTTTTTTAGCACTGGACTAATTAGACAAGTATCATGAGATCCACACCTCCAGTTCTTTCTCTAGTTTTTTTTTTTTTGATTGTGGGGCTTAGGTGCTGTCTCTGAGCTTTTTTGCTCAATGCTAGCTCTCTACCATTTTGAGCCATAGTCCCACTTGCAGCTTTTTAGTGGTTTATTGGAGATAAGAGTCTCCTTTCCTGCCCTGCTGGCTTTTTTTTTTTGGGGGGGGGGTCCAGTCCTGGGGCCTGAACTCTGGGCCTGGGTGCTGTCCCTCAACTCTTCAGCTCAAGGCTAGTGCTCTACCACTTGAGCCACAGTGCCATTCTGGCTTTTTTTCTTTTTGCTTATGTGGTGCTGAGGAATCGAACCCAGGGTTCATGTATACAAGGCAAGTGCTCTACCACTGAGCCACCTTCCCAGCCCCTCCCTGCTGGCTTTTGACTGCTATCCTCAGGTATCAGCCTCCTGAGTAGCTGGGATTTTAGGCATGAGCCACCAGTTTACACCAGTTCTTGATGCAAAGTTTCAGGATTCCCCAGGTCTATCTCCATCGGCTGGCTCATGTACCCTCAAGGGAAGCCCCAGGCCCTGCTGTTGAACCACTGTGTGTGGCAGGGGTGGGAGGGGGAATTTGGAGACAGTGCTAAAGGATTCTAGAGGTGAACAAATCTAGGAACTTAATCAGGTGTATGAGCTGCCGAGACCAAATTTTAAATTCCCCTTAAATTAGTGTTCATATAATTTATAGTCCCAACTGGACTCTTCTGAGAGACAATGGGAGCAACACCAGTAATTAATCCCAAGTAATGAGTATGATAATTCTATATGCATATAAGGACATACGGTTGCAATGTGAATGGATAATTCTGCCTAGGTGGATCTGAGACTGTTTTCCCTCATACTCCTGTTACCACACTTATGTTACCCCAGCCACAAAGCAAGAGAATAGCCGTGGCTCTCAAGTAGATAATGAATGCCTACATGTGTTTTCATCCATGATGTAAAGTTCATTTGGAAGGGATCAAATTGTTACAAATCAAAGTAGAGACAATGTTCACTAGTCACCAGCCCTCCTATGTCCCAGCATGATGCATGTTGAAGGGTAGACAACACAGACATGATGTATGGGGTATGTCTGGAGAGAGGGACAAGAAGAGGAGGATGTCCGCAGAGTGTGTGGAATCCAAGGCCGTAGTGAGCCCCCACCGCCCCACCCCACACAGGCATGTCTTATGAAAGAGGAAGAAGACATATTCGGTGCAGCCTGGGAAAGCAGACTTCTAGACAGAAGGGAATTTCAGAGAATGTCAGATCTGTGAAACACTGGACCATTGTGGGAGCTCAGAGCGGACTGCTTCACCAGGTAGAAGAGCCAGGGATCTGATGGGACCCGAAGCCCGTCCTTCAGGGAGGAGGCAGACGCAGATGGCTGTGATTGCTGACACAGCCCACAACCTGCACAGAGAGTGGAGAAGAAAGGTGCACAGTGTGGATGCTGCTACTGAGGGTGAAGCAATGGACACCCCTGAAGGGGGCAGGGACTCCGCTTCCTCCACAGCCAGCTTCCCAGGCACTGTCCGAAAGAATGAACAGGGCTGGATAGAAGCAAGCGTTGCTATCTTCCTACCAGGGTGCTGCAAGCGGGGTCCTAGTCCCAACCCCATTTCCTGAGTATAGACAGGTTCCATGGCCTCTGAGATCATCCTGGGTAACTGTATACACAGGAATAATGGTATTCTTTACTAAGTTGCATTTTCATTTGCCAAGTTTAATCTTCAAAGCAAAGGTAATGTTCTTTCATCACATTATTATTTGTAATAATAATGATAGTAAGAAGTGAATTGAAGAGGAAAAAATTATAATCACATTCATCTAAGAAATTAAAAATCTTCACCCTTTCCTTTATTGTCCTAGTCCATATGAACACTCATTTTTGACAGAGCACAGATACGTTATTTTAAAAGTTAGGCTACAGGTAAATGTTTGTACATCTTCTATCCATCCATATGCGCATCCTCTCATCCATCCATCCATATACTCATCCATCCATCCATCCATCCACCTACCCTCCACCAATCTGCCAATCCACCTACCACCCATCCATGCCATATACAGTAGTGAATAAAACAGATAATTGCATTTATTAACTTAGATGGAGGGCTTTCATCTTTTCTGTATTATTTCTTGCAGGTACAAATAATGAGATAAGCCCATAAGCAGAGAAAGATAAAAGCAAGCTGAGGTCGGAGTTGTGAGCTGTTTGACCATAAGGAGGCAAAGAAAGCCCCTAGTGAAATGACCTTTGAACAGAACGGAGCAGAAAGAATCACACAGGGCAGACAATGGGGTGGGGGGAGTAAGGAGGATACGGAGAGAGAAGGTGCAGGATCTGGAGAATAGAGATGAGAGCCAGAAGAGAAAAGGAAGGGAAAGGAGAAGGAGAAAGAGGAGTAGGAAGAGGAAGAAGAACAGGAGAAAAGGGGAGGAGGAAGAGGCAGAGCAGGAGAGGAAGGGGAAAGAGAAGGAAAGAGGAGAAAAGGGAGGAAGAAGAGGCAGGGGAGAAGGGGAAGGAGGAGGAAGAGACAGAAGAGGAGAGGAAGAAGAGGAGGAGGAGGAGGAGGAGAAGAGGGGAGAGGAGAGAAGAAGAGGAGAAAGTGGAAGAGGAGGAAGAGAGGGAGGAAGACAAAGAGAGGAAAGAGTAGGAAGAGGATGGGGAAGAGAAGTAGGAGTGGAAGAGGAGGAGGAGGAGGGAGAGGAGGAAGGGGAGGACAAGGGGGAAGATGGGGGAGGAGGGGAGGACAAGGAGGATGGGGGGAGACCATCTGTGAAGTGCTCCAGCGAGGAGCCCGCAGCCAGAGTGGTGAGAGCAAGGAGACCAAGCTGAGTGGCCGTAGCAGGAGAGCAGGACAGGGACCCGGGGCCTGGCCGTGGCCTCAGGTCCATGTATGTGTCCTGCTTGCTTCATGTGGCCTGCCGTGATGACAGAGACAACAGGACAGACGTCCGACCCTGGCAGGGGTGAGTGGGGAGACTGTCTCTCACGGCTGAGTAGAGGACCACGGCGTAGGCAGCGGTGCGCACGCATGAGGGCCGAGTGTCATGAGCACAGCAGGAGGACAGTTTGGGCACAGGCAGGGCCTTGCCAACCGCCACGGGCCAGTGGGTGGCCCCACACTGTACTTCCTGAAGCTGTCGGCAGGGGCTCGACCAGATGGCCCATTCAGCGGGGAAGGAGGGCATGCATTTGCTCCATTTCTCACAGTAATCTATCTCTCACACACCCATCAGGAAGCTTTTAGAAGCATGTGAGGACCATGAGACACTCTGGGTTCCTAATCAGAAAAGGGATCTAAGTTTAGGCCACTGCTGGTTGAAGACATCTCAGAGCACACTGGCTCCTCAGCAGCTCTCTGGGCTCACAGCTGCAAGAGGAGACACGGCTGGCCCCGGGAAGGCCCGAGCCTGACTCCTGCAATAAAGCGTCCTTCGGATTGTGCATGAGAGAACTCTGCGCCCAGGATGGCCACTCAGGCCCTTGTCGGCCCTTGGGGGGTGCTCTGGCTGCCCTAAGTGTGAGGATGTGGCCTCGAGATCC